GAACTCAAAATCCATCAAATGTCAGTGTGGCATCTCACAATGGTAGAGTTTCATCTATTGAATGACAATTAAACTTGTTACCTCATTCAACTCTACCATTGAACTCATAATTATGGATAATCTTAGGTTGTGCTTAGTGTGCCATAACTAGCCTATTTTTCGAGATTTTTTAAGTTGCCATGTTTGGCAAATAAGTAATTTATAAGCTAGTTTTTTAAAAAAGCTAGTTAAACTAGCTTTTCGAGAGCTTTTTAAATTTTATCCAAATATACTCTTAATTACTTATAAGAAATATATTCTTTTACATGTTTTTTTATGTCTTTTTATGTCATTTTATATTTTCCAGCTAGCTTATGAGTTAGTTTCACATATCTTATCAGCTAAGTTCACAAATATCATTTTTTATCAACTAATTTTTCAACTATCAACTAGTTTTTTATATAACAACTAACTTTTCAACTATTAGTTTTTCCGCTGGTATCTTAAACCTTAAAATAAAATATATGTAATCCGACTAATTTCAATAGTTGGATCCCATCCAAAATAATATGCCGTCTATGTGGAAAGTTGCCTATGACAATGATTACATTAAATATTAAAATATAATGATATGATAATCATTAAAATATGATCATAACCCGATAAATTCATAATGTATATCGACTTGCCTTGTCCCTCTTCCAAAATTAAAATTTACATGGACTTATTTGATTATGTATTTCTATCATACTACTAATATAGTCAAATGTCAAATATTTCAAACGATCCAAATACGACCATTCTTTTTATCGTTTTTAAACTCGAAATTACTTATTAAACTTGGTTCAATCAAGACAAGGCCATAGTAGTTACTTGTGTCGTTTATCTTATTTTGTTTATTATTTCTTTTAATATTATTAATTTATTAAAGTATATAATCTTGAGTTACCCAATATAAATGATTAACCTTTAAAAAATAAAATATGAATTCGGTCATTGATTACAAGTTCAACAAACTTCATCACCACCATTATGCCCGTAACGCCATAGGATGTACACCCTATGGTGGGCTGAGGTGGCAGTAAATCCCCTGCATGAATTGATTCCACCATATTTTTTTCTCTTTCTCCATGTTTCATATTATTATACAATATATTGATGTATATTTTTAGGGGAGTGATATATAACAGTAAAATGTGAACGATGTTGTAAGAAAAAAAAAATGATAACCCACATTCCTTGACCTAATGCCGTCGACCTCCACTTTTAACATTTCATTCGTCATCACCGGACCACAGGCCCACATCCCATTAGCAAACGGGCTATAAAACTATAAACGAAAATTTTCAGATATATTCAAGCTATTTGAAATTATAATAATTAATTATTAAAGTATTAGACAATAAAGAATTAAATATTGAAATTTCAAAGGTGTCAATTTCAAAAAATATATTCAAGTTATCTGAGGTTATAATAATTAATTTTCTAAGTATTAGATAATGAAGAATTAAATATTCAAAGAGGTCAATTTCAAAAAGATAAAACGAAGAATTAAATATTCTAAGCATAGCCGCTTCAGCCTTTCAGCGTTTACCAGTACGAGAGGACTAGGCTTTTTAACACTCTTACGCAAATTCCTCAAATATATATTCACCAATTTGCCTTATTTAGTCGAAGCGCGTTCAATCCTCTTCTATATATAATCTCTCTCAATTTCCTCAAGTTATCATCCTATAATGACGACTCACGGCATCCATGGTAATCTTCTCGAAGTCACTGGTACGTACACGATCGTTGAATTCATATGTGTTTAACTGTTTATGTAGGAATATATTAATCATTCTACAAAAACGAGTCGTGATTTTGGGTGAAAAACTCTGCAAGTTGTTTGTCGGTTGCTTTCGCTTCTTGATAACGTCTTACCACTAAATTTCCCGATGCTTTTGTTTTTCTATGGCTATAATTTGTTAGATTTAAGATCTAATTTGGTTGTTTGGACTTTTTCAGTTGTTAGCTGCAATAAATTGAAAGATACGGAGTGGATTTCCAGGCAAGATCCTTACGTTTGTGTTGAATACGGAAGCAACAGATCTCGAACACGTACCTGTACAGGTCAACTCTCTGATCCTTTTCTGTTTATGAATTGATGTTTGAAGATCTGTGTTCTAATTTTCGATTATTGAATTGGTACAGATGGAGGCAAGAACCCTACGTTCCAAGAGAAATTCGTGTATACACTAATTGAAGGATTAAGAGAGTTGAATGTTAATGTTTGGAATAGCAATACAGTCAAACATGATGACTTTATTGGCAGCGGAAAGTAATTAATTCCTCTTTTTCATCCTGATCTGCTTTCATGAATTACATTCCCACTGTATTACCTTTTCTTTCTTCTCAATTAACCGATGTATTGTTGTTGTTACAGAGTTCAATTGGCGAAAGCTCTTTCACAGGGATTTGATGATAGCACTTGGCCATTGCAATCCAAAACTGGCAGGTTTGTGTTTTAGGGCATGGTTTTTAGAGAATGTTCTTAGTTCTACTTGATTATACCTCGAATAACTTTCTAACCCTCAATTCTTGTCATGTAGACATTCTGGAGAGGTTCGATTGATTATACATTACACGAATGCCAATGTAAGCTCAATTTTTACCCTTTCAACAAGATATATGTTATGATAAAAAAAAATTATAATTTTTGTTCTTTAATTTACAGAAACCAGCAAACAGTCATGCTTCAGGAGCTCCACAATATGGTCAACCACAGCCATCACTATACTCTGCACCACCACCACATCAGCCATCAGTATCATATCCTCCACATGCTTCCGGCGGATATCCATATCCACCAGCCGGAGGTGGTGGTGGTGGTGGTGGTTACCCTGCACCATCGCCCTACCCCTCATACCCACCTAATGCCGCCTATCCACCCTCTCCATACCCACCTCAGGCAGCAGCTCCTTATGCAGCACAACCATATCCACCAAATTCAGCTTACCCTCCTCAACCTTATGGATCTTTTTATCCCCCTGGTAAGTCAATAATAGTAAAAAAATTAATTAAGTAATGTAAGAAGTAAGAACATTGTATAATGAAAAAGAAATAAAGTGCATTCCTACTAAATCAGTAAATTTTTTTTTCTGTGATCAGGTCCTCCTTACCCAGGTCAACATCCTCCACGTTACTGAGAGAGAGAGAGAGAGAGAGAGAGAGAGTAGCTACTGTCCTATCATCCATCAAGTAATCATGTAATGAAATGTCTATAAACTTGCTAGATGTGATCCAAATTGTAAATCTTTTATTATAGTGGCTTTGATCATTTTCGTAATATTTTTAGAATTTGAGTATCGAATTATGTTTTAAATATGGTGTAGTGTTTTGTTTTTTCTTTTGTTTGATAATGATAAATATTCTTTTATTGGTTGTTTGTTAAGTGTTTGTATCAATAAGTTTCTCAAGTTGTGGCTTTTGAAAGCGTAATGTTTGTTTGAGTAATTTTTATAAATGATGATACATTATAAAAGTGTTTGCTTTTCAGGCTAGTGATAATGCAAAAAGTTCTAAACAATGATACATAATTTGAAGTCCATGGTTTATGCGGATTTTATGAGTTTTTAAAGTTGAAAATTTCAATTATTTTTTTGATTATATATTTGATGTTGGAAAACAGAGAGTTTTTTTGGAAGATGCTTTTATTTATTAATATTAGAATGAGTACTATAATTACCGAATATGCTTCGCTTTGATCATAAACTAACTTCAATTTCACTAGAAGAATGCATAAATTGGTGATTGCTTCTAAAAACGTGGTTGACTACAACTGAATATGTTGCCCCAGACAACTAACATAAAATGTGGTTAAACTATTCAGGATTTCCACTCAACAGAATCAATATTGAAATCCCTTCATTTGTAGGTATGTCATGAATTTGATAAATGTATTTTATATATACTAGCACCCCTATGCCGCTTTACACTTTACAGTTCATTCCTTCAACTTTGTCCCTTATCACTAAACTCTTACATTATGTGAATCTTTCATTTCATTAAGATCAATGCTTTAACGTACATTCAATCATATAACTAGTAGTAACTAGTAAGTATACATTTCAATTGTCTAATTCTAAAAGTTCGAGGAGTATTTCACAAATTGTCATGTAATTATTGTTTAGTACTCACAAATGTTTCATTTACTCGATATATAACAACATTAAACTAGAAGTTGGCATGGATTAAGATTTAATCCAACTTAGAACATACTTAATTATCATCATTCCATGATTTCCTTGGTAAAGGGTAAAGTGTGAGTAAAGGTGAGCAAATGCTCCGAGCCGGTCCAAAACCGGTTTTGGACCAGAACCTTTTAAGCTAATTGGAGAGGACTGATAACCGGACTGGTTAACCTAGACCGGTGTTGGTGTCGGTGCCAGTCCCAATTTTCTGGTCAAATCAGTTGGAACCGATACAAGTTCTTACACAGTAGGTACAAGTAGATAAAGCTATGTGTTAAATGAACTAATCAAAGATTTGAATCTAAATAATTAGAATAATACCAAATCAACCAACAAAAATTTACCCAAAAATATTTGTACTTTAATACCAAATCAACCAACAATGTTGAAACAACATAAATTAAGTTTTAATACCCTATGTTTTAGGGTTATATGTTTATGTAGTCTAAAATAAAATAAATATAGTAAACTACATGTTAGAAAAAAATTTATGTCATTCCAACTTCAAACAAATGATTATGATAGTTTAAAGAAGATGACAAATTCAACACATTTAAAGAAAAATAATACCTCAACTTCGGGGTCGTTATCGATTTTATACCCAAGATTAGATGATTACTAAAAACCAAAAACCGGCCCACTATATGAAAACCGGTCCGGTTCGGTTCGGTCCAACCGGGCCGTTTGCTCACCCCTAAGTGTTAATATTAGTAACACATTTTACTTTTGCTATTAATATGAGCAACATTCTTATTTTTTGGTACATATATTATTGGTGCACTTCAACTTTTACTTATATTAGCAACATATTAATTTTTTTAACTCATAACAAAAACATACTTACATATGAGCTGTTGCTATACTGCTATTACAAAGTAAAACAATGTATAAGTATATTGATCCTACAACAAACATCGTTATGGATAATGGCATCATTGTTTTTCAGTTCAAATAAGTTGTTTTACTGGTTTTTCATGCTTCTTGTTCAATATGTATCACAGAAAATTAGTATTACGTACCCTGATATATAACATCGAGCACTTCTTTGTTATTAATTTAGGTAGTTTTAAGCAAACTCGTTTCTTCCGAAAAGAGAAGAATATGTGGATAATAATTTTCTGTAAGCAATGGTACCTGTGTGCACAAGATCCAAAAAAAACAACTCAATTGTCAACAGAAAATTGTTTTTTAGTTTCAGCATGACCACATTTTCCTTGACCACTTCGATTAGACAATCAAATCATTATTACGTTGATCCATTTTGCTGATATTTTATGTGCAAATGCACTTTCTTGACAAATAGTTCATGTCCACATATGCATTTTATCAGATTTATTTAACTTGATCCAGCAAACACTAATCCATTATTAAGGTATCTTTCTGAATTTTGAGGTGATGCATTTATGAACTGTTGAATCTTAATTAAGATTCGCAGCCGTTGAATTATTTTACAAGACAACGTGAAAAGTTCCTAATATCCTATGGCACATAATGCATCGGTTCCTTAATTTTATAAAATAAAAATAAATAAGACATGCCTATCGTTACTTATACCTAATGTTGTAAAATACGACGGATCCAAATTGACTTAAATAATATTAGCTCAACGCGGAATGGGATCAAAAATTATCAAAGCGTAATAATCACAACGTAATACGAATAAAATAAATAGAATAGAGACACAGGAATTTACGTGGAAACCCAAATCGGGAAAAAACCACGGGCGGAGGAAGCCGAGAAACAATTCACTATAATTTGCAGTGTTTACAGGGATTATGAAAGAGATTACAAAATAGATTGGGAGAGCTAAAATACACGGTGGTGTATCAGTATATATATGTAATGTTTTTTTATATATACTTGGATGATTTTTTGGTTGTTATGAAACTTCTCTGGCTCAGGCTATTTATAGCCAA